TAATTTTGATTAGTTGTCTGATAAATGGGTTCAAAAAAAAGATATGCTAAATCAAGAGCAAAGAAAAGAAAGTTTTATAAATTAGAAAAAGATTCTCTAAATAATTCAAATGTTTTACAACAAACTGTTTTGTCTCCACATTCACCAACCAATGTAAGTGGATCGGCATCTGGAAAAAAAATAAACTTGTCTCTTTTAGATATAGAAAACTTTGATTATATAGAAAAAGAGTGTAATATAATTATAAACTCAAATTTATTTTCAAGTTTGTTGAAAACAGTTGGAAGATGCCCAGAATGTTATGCGTCAATCAATATTATACATGACATTAATAAAAAAGAGGGTCTTTCTCACACTTTCATAATTTCTTGTCAAGATTGTACATGGATGATAAATTTTTTAACTTCAAAATCAATAGAAAATAAAAATGATGTAATCAAAGGTAAAAAAATGAAAGAAATTAACCTACGTACTGTGTTAGCTTTTCGAGAAATGGGGCAAGGATACACAGCAATTAATACTTTTTGTCGTTTAATGAATATGCCTCCAGGTATGACTAAACGTGGTTACCATAATATTAATAACAAACTTCACCTTGCTTACATTGAAACCTCTAGGCAGAGTATGAAAAAAGCCTCAGAGGACATACGTAGGGAAAAACTTGGTGAAAATTATGATGAATCTTCAATTGTCAATGTTGCTGTTAGTTTAGATGGTTCATGGCAGCGCAGAGGATACTCCTCAATGAATGGTATAGTCACAGCAATATCTCATGGAAAGTGTATTGATGCTGTTGTCCAGACAAAAAGTTGTTACCCCTGCAAGATATGGTCAAGAAGAAAAGGTACTCCGGCTTATGAGAACTGGAAGATCGCACATAACTGCAAGATCAATCATAAGGGTAGCTCAGGAAGTATGGAATCTGTAGGCGCTGTACAAATATTCAAGCGATCTGTCGAGGAGCTTAAACTGAAGTACCTAACATACATTGGAGATGGAGATACTAAGTCTTATATGCAAGTATGTGATGCAAATCCATACCCAGGAGAAATTATTGAGAAAGCAGAGTGCATAGGACATGTTCAGAAGAGAGTTGGTGCAAGACTACGAATGTTGCGAGATCGTTACAAAGGTAATACATTATCAGATGGAAAATACATCAGTGGGAAAGGGAGATTAACTGATAAGTGGATAAATACTCTTCAAAACTATTATGGAATAGCAATACGCCAAAACATTGATAGTCTATATGGGATGAAAAAGGCTGTTGCTGCAGTACTTTTTCACTGCGCACAATCTGACAACTTAGAGGAACAGCACCAGTTTTGCCCTAAAGGTTCAAGTTCATGGTGTAAATATCATTCAGACCAGAAAAATTACAATTCAAAGTGTATTCCAAAAGCTATAATTGAGCTCATTAAGCCAATTTTTTCTTACAAAGATCTTGGCAGTGATGAATTGCTCAAGAAATGTTTACATGGCCAAACTCAAAATGTCAATGAATCGCTAAATGGGATGGTTTGGGCTCGCGCACCCAAGAGAGTACATGTGGAAAAAACAGTTGTTGAGATTGCTTTGGCCTCTGCAATAATTAGCTTCAATAATGGAGTTCAGGGTTTACTACCAGTGTTTGAAAAATGTAATGTTGTGCCTGGATATTTTACAACAAAAAGTTCTCTAAATGTAGATTATGTTCGCGTTAAGCAGAATGAGATAAAAAGTACAGGTGCCACAAAAAACAGGAGGAAAAAGCTAAGAGCTATTAAAAAAGGCTTTATTGACCAACATAACGAAGCAGAAGCTGTTACATACAACAGTGGTGGTTTTTAGTAGGTTTTATTGTGTAAAAAACTTTAATATTTTTTTAAATTGTGTTTTTCAAGCGATTCACTTTTTGTGTATCTTTTAATTTTTTAACAAAGATAACTTTTTAACCGCTCATTGGAATTCTTTCAAATTTTCAGCAATTATTCTTGAGTGTATTTGTGATGTGCTGAACCAAAGAAAATTATTATTTTTTTATGTTAAAGTATTAAAATTTGAGCTTTAGCAAGCTGTACTTATACTTTTTTTTTTTATTGATAGAATTTAATGATTTTAAAGTTATTAAATGTTGTTTATTGTATAATTTTTAATTCAGCACATTTTTTGAACATATATAAAACTACTTATTAAGTTTGGTTTGTAGAACTTATATGGTTCTCAAGATATTCTTGTTAAAAAAAGGTCAATTTTTTTGCCTAAATTTTGCTAATTTATGCGCATAATTATTGAGCAGAGGGGTAAAAAAAATTAATTTTGTTATTTTTTGAAATGATTTAATCTAACACTTCAGAAAAACATAAATGCTCCCATATAATATCAAATTTTAAATTTTTTTTCTCTTAAAGGGTACTACCACCTTAATCAGTGCATTAAAAGTTATCTAGTGTGTTTTCAAAAAAAATAGTTTGCTTAGTTAGGCAGCCATGTCTACTTTTTGTTTAAAAATTGAATTCAATTCAAAAATTTCCTTGAATTCAAAAAAAAATTTTTTTTTTTTAATTACATAAAGTCATTGTTTAAGTCATTGATAGGATTATAACTATTATCTTGCTTACAAATTCCTTTACTTGGAGACATTTAATATTTTCCGGAGTTTTTATAATTAAAGAAATATACTCATGAGTTCCTGTCAGAGTTGTTAGTCCTTAGCTTTGTCTTTGCCTTAGGCTAAAAATTAAGACCTTGGCCTTGAAACCGTTGGCCTTGGTCTTGGCTTTGAAAAATTTTAAGCTAATTTAACATTTTGTCTATCAATAGTGGTCAGGTTAAGAGCATTATTTGTCAAGTTTAAAAGTACCCTTACAAAAAAACCCAGCGAACTTCCAGCGAAAGTTCGCTGGAAATTAAAAGATCACTGGAAATTTACTAAGATCGCTGGATTTCCATGGAAACAAAAGACTTCGCTGGAAGTTCGCTGGAAATCCAACGAAAAACTTCCAGCGATCTTAAAGTTCGCTGGAAGTTTACTGGGTTTCTTGCGAAATATTTCGCGGTGATGTAAAAAGCGTTGCTGTTACAACTTCTGCAAGCAGTTAAAACTTGGAAAATTGATAATATAGCTTCTTAAAATAATATTTCAAATTTTTGTATAAAAGTAATCCTTTTTATTTTATTTTTTGCATCTAGTAGATGATCTATAGTGTGAGTTTCAATTATTATTAGTTCTACTCAAGTTACAAAACAAAATCATCTGGTATGTTGCTCAAAATGTTTATTTCTCTTAAGTATTGTTTATTATGCATTCGCTTTATGCGAATGCATTTTATTTATTAAATTCAACTTTATTATTTTATAAAAATAATTTTTATAAATGTCTTTATGATTAAGTATTTTATATTAAAAATAATAAATAACAATCTGTTTCTCTCTCTCGCTGAAAGAGAGGGATATATAATATATATCCCTCTCTCTCTCTCAGTATATATATATATATATATATATATATATATATATATATATATATATATATATATATATATATATATATATATATATATATATGTATATATATATATATATATATATATATATATATATATATATATATATATATATATATATATATATATATATATATATAATATGTTAGTGTATTCTACAAATAGAGTGCTCAACGTTCTTAAAGAACAGAGCAATAATAAATTAGTAAAAACACTTATCTAATTTTTATTTTCTTCTACAGCTTGTTTCTCCATCAGTAGGATTATCAGGAAGGAATCTTTCTGATGATCCAACTGATGGAGAAACAAGCTATAGAAGAAAATAAAAATTAGATAAGTGTTTTTACTAATTTATATATATATATATATATATATATATATATATATATATATATATATATATATATATATATATATATATATATATATATATAATATATATATATATTTGTGAAGTTGCTTTAAGTACTAATAAGCAATGTACAAAATGTTTGAAATATTTTACATTATCCTATCTTTATAAGAAATGCAGTTATTTTCATATTTTAAACATAAACAAACAGCATAAAAACATGTGTGATAACAATTGGATACATTTAGCAAGTCTTGAAGAAAATGTGCAAGCAGCAATTAGACTTGTTGTTAATACTGATGGAATTCCTGTTTTTAAATTATCAAAGTGGACCTTGTGGCCTTTGCTAGCATCCATTCATAATTTTCCATATTCATTGCAAATTACTAATATTTTGTTTTTTGGTTTCTGGTCCAGTTTTAAAAAACCAAACGTGCAATTATTTTTATCTTGTTTTGTTGATTTTTTACTAACCTATCCACTACTGGTATACTCTTATCTAATAATGTTCGTGTTTTTTTTCATGTATCTATTTTTTTGTGTGATACAATTGCAGGAGCTATGGTTTTTTGTTGTAGGTAGTTTAATGATTATAATGGTTGCCATTGGTGTTCTTCTCAAGGGGTAAAAGTTAAAAAAAGGTAGGAGGTCTTGTATGACATCCATTTTCTGATGTTAATGGGAGTTGTAGAAACCATACAGATTTTTTTTGGATTAATGTGATTAAAGGGTTTTTAGATTTTTCTACATTTGTAAGAGTACCTAATTTTAATTGTGAAAATGGAACAGTTGTTAATAATCTGCACTGTATTGAGCTTGGTGTTATGAAAGCTATGTTTTCTTTCTGATTTGGTAGTTATTATTCTGGTTATATTTTTTCTATTAGAAGACACTGTACTGTTGTAAATAATCTTTTATCTGCAATCAGTGTGCCAAGCAATATAAGACAGACTCGATGATCATTAAGTTGTATAAAGCATTGGAAAGGTATTGAGTTTTTTACTTTTTTAGTTTTTTATGGTCCTGTTATTTTATGTGATGTTTTGCCTCCTCAGTTTTTTGACCATTTTACTCTTTTATCTAATATTGTTTTTACGTTGAACAATAAGGTATTATCTGAAAGTGTAATTAATGAAGCCACATTATTAGTTAATAGATTTTTTTATGAGTTTTCTGATTTGTATGGTAAAGAAAATATGTTTTATATTAAAGAGTTATTTTAAAGCAGTTATATATATACAGAGCTTTTTTTAAAGCAGGTGTTATATTTTAATGCAGTTTTTATTTAAGTAAACTAAAATCTTTCTCTCTCTCTCTCTCTCTCTCTCTATATATATATATATATATATATATAAATATATATATATATATATATATATATATATATATATATATATATATATATATATATATATATATATATTATGTATGTATATATATATATATATATATATATATATATATATATATATATATATATATATATATATATATATATATATATATATATATAAATTTTATACAGTATTTATTATATGTTTTTATAAAATTGTTATTGATGTCCTTTAAATATTGTATAAACCATCTTTTTTTTTTAGCTTTAAAGACCCAAACGAAAATACTTTTAAAGTCAATTTTTGCAATTCTGTTTGTTTTGTTATGCTAATTTGTCAGTAGAGAACCAACAGACCACTGACTTCATAATTTTTCCATATAAAACTATACTAAAATATCCTAATAAATACAATTTGAATTAGATGATATAAGTTATCAGAGAAAGTAAACAAAGTACACTTATTCGGAATAAAAAATGTAACTACTGCCATTTGGTTCTCGACTTTTTTGAAATGGGCTAAAAAACATGCTTAAGCATCATATTGCCTATAAGATATACTTACTGCAATATTTTTCTTTTTCACTAATATACAGGTTTAAGTTTTGCTTTATAATGACTATTATGTTTTTTACAGATTTAAATATCTATATCAGTACAGAAAAGTAGAGCTGTATGATTTTTTGTTTTGTTGATTTAAACAGTTGAAAATTTAAAAAAAAATTAGTTTAAAAATTGTAAAGTTCCTTACAAAAAAAAAAACAGAAAACTTCCAGTGAAAGTTTGCTGGGTTTTTAAATTAAAATTATTTAGTTATTATAATAATTGATTATATATATATATATATATATATATATATATATATATATATATATATATATATATATATATATATATATATATATATATATATATATATAATTAAGTTTTTATTATTTTATCTATAATTATTATTTTTATGCAGGATAAAAGTGATAAAATGCTATTGGTTGGAAATTGATAAATTAATAAAAAATGATTGATTCTAATTGCGAGAAAATATGTTGATATGTTTTTATCTATCTTATACTGTTTTATTTTTGCTTATCATTTCACATTTTGTCTTATTTTGAATATTATGTTTTATATAATTATTAGTTAGTGTTTGTAAAACACTAACTAATTTTGATTGCTTTTAGATTTTGGATACTGCCTCTACCATTAACAAATTAAAAATAAAAGAAGCACTTCATATTAAATGGGAAAATCCTAAATATAAATTTATCTAACTAACTTACTACATTATTATTGTTATTTTAATATTAGGAGGTTTATTTTGTCATAATTTGTAATAAAATTTTTAATTGATTTGTAGCAAGTTTATTTGTCCATTAATTTTTTCTCTGTATTGTCTTCAGTTTTTAAATTTATTTACCAGAATATATATATATATATATATATATATATATATATATATATATATATATATATATATATATATATATATATATATATATATATATATATATATATATATATATATATATATATATATATATATATATATATATATATATATATATATATATATATATATATATATATATATATATATATATATATATATATATATATATATATATATATATATATATTAGTAGAAAGTCACTTAATAGAAAATTTTTTAAAAGTTTTCGATGTAACAGTGTAAAATGAAAAAAAAATTTTGTTAAGTAATTTTCTACTTATTTATAATTGCTCTGTTCTTTTAAGAACATTGAGCACTCTATTTTGTAGAATACATTTTGAATATTGTTTAAATATATATATATATATATATATATATATATATATATATATATATATATATATATATATATATATATATATATATATATATATATATATATATATATATATATATATATATATATATATATATATATATGTTCTTTATTTATTGTATGCATTCTTTTTTTTTTTTTTCTTTTTTTTTTTAGCTCTAAAGACCCAAACCGAAAAGAATGCCTAAAGTGGTTTTCAAAAGATGAATTGACGAATTTCTTAATTCTTTTTGTTTCGTTGTGATAATTTGTCGTATGAGGACGCTAACGAGAAAAAACTTTTTAAATATAGAAACATGCGTAATATAAAGTTTACTTATGCCTATAAAAAAATATGTTTTACATTAATTAATAAATTAACTTTTTAGTTTCTTGTTATAAATTGTATTCTGTATTGAAGTTTATTTCTGAGAATTTGTAATTATACCTAAGATAATCTAATCCTACATTGTATTTTAATTTATAAAACTCGATATTTTAAAATAAATATATTACTTTTTTATCGCGCTTAGCTTCTCTTATTTCGCGTTTATTGGTTAAAAAATTTTAAAATGTTTATAAACTTTTGAAACTTTTATAGCAAAAATAAAAAATCTTTTTTAAAAAAACTTCCAGCGAATCTATTTTTATACATAAACATGAAAATTCGCTAGAAAAGTTCGCTGGGTTTTGGAACAAGTTCGCTGGAAATTTCCAGCGAACTTCCAGTGATCTTTAAAGATCACTGGAAAAGTTCGCTGGAAGTTCGCTGGGTTTTGGAACATTTTTTCACTGGAAGTTCGCTGGGTTTTTTTGTAAAACCAGGATAAAGAAATAATGATCAAGTTGTCCCAGCCAGTTATAGCGAATACATTTTTAATCGATGAACATAGAAATAGAAAAACAGTTTTCTTGTTGAATCATAAGAATGTTGAATAAATGAGTTAAAATCACCACTACAAAAGGTAATAAACACTACAAAAGGTAATAAACACCACTACAAAAGGTAATAAACATGTTTCAATTAATCTGATTAATGTCTGAAATTAAAGAAAGAACTTTGTAACCACAATTTTTTATCATTCCAACCACTTTTATAGTATTTCTTTTAAATAGATGGCAGTCATATTTTTTACTGAAACAACATCTTTGAATGATACTGAGCAACACCTTTGTATGATGATAATAAAGAAGTTATAAATACTTGCACTGTGACATGCATTTCAGATAAAAACTAAAAGCTAAAGTATCAGGACTATATCAAGGTTGATAAATCAATAGTATTTCATTTGTTCACATAAAAATACTGAACATTTATGAACATCTATAGAATATTTATTACTCTCTTTAACTCACTCACATAGATTATTTAAATTACATTGAATTATTAAAACATAATCTGAACAGGACATAATATTTTTATTACCAGGAAAAATTTGTGTTAAAATAGTAGACAATTGAGTCAAATAAGAAAGTTTACTTTCATTGTTAAGTACCTTAGCCACCAAACTGCTGTCTATCTTCAAATAAAGTAAACAACCCAACAAGTAGGTTATTGTAAATACAAATTTTATTGATAAATAAAAAGAAATGTTAGGAAATAATGATGGGTAAGAATCTTGTGTTAATTTTGGTCTTTTTCTCTCAACACATATTACAGAACTATCATCTCGTTTCATTGTATCAACACAAACAAGTAATGTAACCATACGTACGCGTTTGGCGCGTACAGTAAGCGTTTGACGGTAGTTTTTTGCGTTTGGGGTTTGTACGCGTTTGTGTACGCGTTTAAATATTAAAGAAAGCAAATAAAATTCTTTCAAAAACTATTATTTGAAAGACGTTTAATAAATGAATTTTCTAAAATATAGTTAAAAAACAAAATTAATAAAATTCCAATAAACTTAACTGTAAAACACGAAACTAAATGAATGAAATTTTCGTAAACATTTTAAAAAAAGGTTTTTAAAATTCCCATTAGAGAAGAAAAAAGTTACTTCAAAAATTTTTTCAACTACAACAAAGAAAATGCGCTCGTTTTACGCAAATTTTATCTACCTTGTAATGTTTTTTTTCTCCCTAATTATTTTTAAAATCGTTTTGCGATTTACTTTAGTAAAAAGTTCATAAAAATAAATGTTCATAAAAAAGTAATTTAAGGTTTTTTTAACTATTTATACATCAAACTTAAAAATTGAATAGTAAAAAGAGAAAGTTAACACATTTAATGATAATTTTAAGAAAATATTTCCTTTCTTAACGCAGATCAAAGATGAGCTCCTCAAATGTACTATTTGTCAAAGCCTATTTGACATTAGTAGTCGTGGACGGTCTGCAATTGAAGATCATTGCAAATTTATCAAACACAAAATGGCATTGGATGCTTCTTTACCGTCAAACAAAATCACAAAATTGATGAAGAGTCAGAGCTTTGGTCAAAATGAAAAAATATTAGCCATTCAAGATGGAAGAATTGCATTCTACACAATCAAACACAACCATAGCTTTAGATGTGCTCAAAGCTAGTTAAGAAACTTTATAATCCATTATTAGCTTGTGCGCGTACAAAATGTGAAGCAATAGTTATAAACGTGTTCAAGAAATATTGTAAAACTAACTCAGAAACTGCTTTATTAAATGCATCATATGTGTCAATTCTTTTTGATGCATCAAACCACAAGGTTAAAATGTAATTTTGATGTGGAGGTAATTATTCCTCAAATTTATTTATTTTTTTACCGTTTTACTGTTTGAGTTTTTAGTTTAGAAAAATTCTGCGATGAGGCCGGTGTGGAATATCAAAAGTTGCTAGAATTCTCAAAGGTTCGTTGGTTGGCTTTCTATCCAGCTATTAAAAAAGTGCTTAAGTTATATCAGCCACTAAGATTATACTTTTTAAGCTTAGAAAATTGTCCGAAGTTTTCATTTAACTTTTTCAATAACAAAATGGGTGAAATATTCTTTTTTTTTTCACAGACAAGCCAATATTTTTTATAACACGCTAAAAAGTATTGAGAAAGATGATATTTCTGCTGCTGAAGTTGGCGTAGTATTAAAGGATTTGAAAGACGAGATAAAATGCAGAGAAAAATGTAGAAAAAAATTTCTAATTTTCGCGGTAAGACAGCATTTGCAAGTTACCGAAGAAAGTAGTCATCATTTGAAAAACCAATTTCTGAAAGAAGTAGACATTTTTTGCAGTGTCTGTCTAGAGTATATAGATGAGTAAACGCGTCACTTTAATCAGGTTGAGGTTTTTAAATGGTCTTTACTTAACTGTAAAGTTGAATGGATTAAAATTATTGTAACTATAACTTTTTTGAAAAAATTGATAGAAATTATATTCGATGACAATGAACTGTTCGACGATATTCGGAAAACTAACTTATATTGCATAAAGGAAAAGTTTTCTTCTTGGAACTCATAGTCTGTTGAATGTGACAAGCCATGGGTTGAAATTTTTTCTCATTTTAAAAATAATCACGTTCCTTATATATAACAGTTTGTTAAAATTGGTGGAAGGCACTTTATGTTTGCCAGGTACAAACGATTCCGTAGAGCGATTGTTTTGGAGGTAAATCTTAACTTATAATGAAAAATTTGGCAGCTATTTTGTTCCTTAAATTTAATTTAAGAAAATATAGCTGCTCAGAATTTGCAGAAAAAATTGAAAAAGATGACATGTTGCTGAAAGCAATTTTTAAGAATGAAAAATATTTGTGATTTAAAAATGCAAATTTTGTTTATTATTTTTTCCATAATTCAGTTTCTTCACATGCTATTTAAAAAAAAAAAAAATGAGTTTTTTGTAAAATCCATTTAAACCGGGCCCGTATGCAGGGCAAGAGTGAGGGGGCACGTGCTGCCCTGTACTTTGTTCTGTTTGGCCACTAAAATATTGAAATTAAACATATATTCAAAAATTAATAGTACAACTTAAAAAAGGCCAAGGCAAAACCTTCTTGATAATATAAAAAAATATAATTAATCATTTTATTGAATTTATGAAAATTTTTTTTTATTCCATGAGTGGGCCTTCTACTTTAGAAGACCTTGTTCAAATCTTAACATCCGGTTCTCCTTTCTTATTTAACGGGAAATATTATGATTAATTGGATGGCTTAACCATGGCTGATATTTTTTTTGGGTTTCACGAACAAAAATGGGTTATGGGTAATAGTTAGTAATTGCTCTTCCTCCATACCGATATTTTATAAACGTTATGTGGATGATCGCTATTTTTAATTCGGAATTTGAAACTCAAGAATAAACAACATAAAAAATTAAAATTTACTATGGAAAAAGAACAAGATAATGTTTTGCTTTCCACATCAGTTTATCACAAAAAAACATATACGGGTCTTTTACAAAAATATTCCAGTTTAAGTTTCCTATTGTTATAAAATCAGTCTTACTCGTTATTTGATTGATAGAGCATATAAAATCAACAACACATTTGGATTTGATCAGGACATAAAAAATCTATATATTGTTTTAAAAAATAACCAATATCCACCAAAAATAATTGACACTGAATTTAAACTATTTGTTGATAAAAAATCTTTCTGTTGTAAATGTATTATAATCCTAATATAAGTTTTTATAAACTTCAATTATAAACTTCAATTTATAGGATTTTACTCAATGATTTTATTAATTTTACTAAATCTAAAATTAATAAAATCATTGAAAAATATTGTAAAGATGTTATAATTAATTTCATTGTCACTACAAACAAATTACAAAACAATTTATTTATAAAAGATAACCTCCTCATATCAAAGATAAACCCTAAGCCGCTCAAATCCAATGTTGTTTACAAGCTTTCTTGTGCTGAATGTAATGCCAGTTATATCGGAGAAACCTCCAGATACTTAACAACAACGTATCTTGAGCACCTTACGAGAGACAAAAAATCTAATGTTTACAAGCATTTAATTTCATCTGTTAATTGTAAAAATTTGTTACTATGATTGTTGTAAAATTTTGGATACTGCTCCTAACAAAAATAAATCGAAAATTAAAGAAGCGGTATCCATGGATAAAGCATCCCATTCTCTGAGAAGTGATCGCTTGAGGGCATAACGTTTTTTGACAGAATCACTATCATTATATCGCTTAATAGTACGATAGACAAAATCCTTTGATATTCCTTTATGCTGCAGCATTTTGAAATCTGATACGGTTTTCTCGTCCCGTCTAATAATGCTATAATTGCACACCCCTTTCCTTCCATACTATCCATTATGAAAAAATCTACAAATAAACACACAAATAAATTAATAAATTCCAGGAATCTATTCAAACAATACAAATAAATGCGGGAACTATATAAAAAGCACATGCCTATTAACATGACAAGTTTAAACAAACTTCATACTTCAATTGGTACAACAGGGTAATACAATATATACTCTTATGCACAATGTCAACACTAAAGAATATCAAGTAGATTTTTTATACACAATGTCAACACTAAAGAATATCAAGTAGATTTTTACTTAAACTAAGTTTTTATTTGAGATTTT